ACAGAAATGTTACTTCTTTAAGCACCCTCGAATATTCTGTGGGCCTTTCTGTACCATTAGGAGGTAGGTGAATAATTTGCTTGGCTTTTTATTTTCCAGACAGCACCTGGAGTACATAAAAGATTTTTCCGGAAAATAAAAAATCTCATTTCAGCATTTCAGAAGCCAGATCAAGGTATTGTAATACCTCTGCAGTATCCAGTTGAGAAGTCCTCAGTTAGAAGTACACAAGGTACCACTACAGGTATGATTTACTGTTAATTTTTGACAAGGTTTGGAAGCTTAGGGTTATGAGTCAACCTATTCTTAAACATATAGTTATAGGAAGTTCTGTAAGGAACAATGAAATGGGAAAGTAGATGTAGCCAACAAATCAAGTGAGAAGGGGTTATTCTCATGCTGTTGAAATAGGGCAGGGACATGGGGCAAGTATCATAATTAATTTTCCTGCCTATGATGAAAAATGCTGAGATATAAATAGTGTAGTAAGAACAGGAGGGACCCCATCTTAACACTAAGATTCCATTTTAAAAACTAGGGAGTTGGGAGGTAAGATTCCTAACATATTTTATGGTAATCAGCCAATAACCTACCCTATCTTAAGGCAGGGGACGCAGTCCTAAATGATATGTCCCCACTGCTTGAGGGTAACCACTGTCTTGGAGAAGAACAGGACCAAGAAATTCCTTGTGTTAAGTTTATCTTACAGATATCCACAGGACAGACTATGGATGGTGACATAATGTTCCTCACCAGAGATAGATATCATGAGACCCCCCATGTCAAGCCTATGCCCAACAACCCCCCACCCCAACCTTTGCCCCATTCTTGAAATCCTTAAAAGACAGAATCCTAAGTCTTTAAGTGTGCCTCCTCTCTGAGGTTTCCTGTACTCCCCTTTCTTCGAGTGTGTACTTTGCCTTCAATAAAGACTTCTCACTGGTCAACTTACTGCATTTTGTCTATGCGCTCTTGTAGTGGTAAGTGTCTTTGCTATTTCACTATTTCATTCAATTTTCTAAAATTAAGCACAAGTCTTCAGTCTCTCTGCCCTACTTCAGACAAGTAGGGAGGGGCTACTGAGATCTCTGATATGGGCCTTGCAAGTTCCTGTCACCTGCAGCTGTATGATCGTGCTCTTTAGTAGCCTGACTGAAAATCTCCTTTCTTTGCTTTGGGAAGTTCTCAGAACATAAACTCACTCCATTCAGCGCTCTGCAGCTACCCCAAACCCTGTGGTGGTAGGGGTTCCCATGCTGTGCAGATCAAGCAGGCACTGGACACCAGGTGACCCTGGCTTCAGGAGTTGGCAAGGGATCTGTGCTATGCTGAGCAGGAGTTCAATGAGCTTTCCTTTCCTCCCTCTGTTCTTCCTTGCTCTCTGTTGCCTGCATGGCTGCTGCCATTCGCTGCTGCTCTTGCTTTAATGAACTCCTTCATTACCTACATTCATATGGTCTGGTCAAGAATTCTTTCTCAGGTTGAGGTTTCATCTAGTGTGCAGGGACAGACCTCCCCAGACACAGCTGCCAGACAACACTATTTCAACATGCTATACTATCAAGTTTTAATAAAACTGCAAAAATATTTTAGAAATTCTTTAAGCCCACACCATTTCAACCTCTCTTGCCCTGTCTTGTGCTTTCCAGCCCCCTTTACCATTTCACTTCACTAATTCAGACACAAGTAATTTGCAAGGTGAGACAATTCACAGAACACCTGGGCTGTCCTTTACCTTTGCTTAGCAAACTGTGTTTTCCCTTCAGGGATGGGAAGGCTAATGTGAGCCTGGCCCACGAGATCTTGATTTCTGAATTTGTGATGCTTGAACTAATGAAATTTTATTATAGCAAAGGAAATTAAATTCACAGACTTCATTATTCCACGGGCACAAATTGTTATGTCTCCTAACCAAAGCTATTTTAGTGTATGTGTCAAGCCAATGAGCAAGTATTAGTGAATGTCTGCAGCTCTCGGTTACATGATTGTTTACTCAACTATTGAAAGGGGTTAATCATTTGTTTGGAGTAAAAGTATATGCCTTGATTGAAACAATAAATATTTATAATAAAAAAGAGTCATTATATCTCTTTTTGACAGTGACCCAGGTCAGGCTCGGGCATAAAATGACAATTACACTCAAGTGGTGAATTAAATTAATGAATAGTTAGCCTTTATAATAGAAATGTACATAGAACTCCAATTTACAAATTGGCTAATTGTTCCTTTCTGCTCAGTGTTCTATTTTTCACAGCTCAGTTTTAAATACTAGTTCCTTGAGCTGTTTCACTGGGTTATATCTATGTGAGCTTTATGCAGTTGGAAACTTAATGATTATAAATTGGAGTTAACCTGTAACTTTAATGACTGTAAGTTTATCTTTTTATGACTTTTGTTATTATTTCTCTTTAGGGAGAAGATCCTGATGTCTTCCTGAAAGTACCCTGAAGAAAAATAAAACACCTACTACTTTATTTTCAATAATTTAAATATATGCTAGGTTTTATATATTGTAGATAATACAGTTCAGTGCGCTACAGATGTATTTCTAAAACCATCATAGTCCTGTAATGTAAGCATCTTGCATAATGTGAAAGCTGAAATAGACTTCATTGGATATGAAGAGCTTTGACATGAGGATTGGGAAAGAATAATAATTTTCAGATTATTTTCAGTTACTATATTTACGAATGGGAAACCATTTAAAACATAATAATACTTTATAAAAGATCAGTGTCAATTCTTGCCAAATATAAAAATGATCCTCCATTTTTCTCAAAAGCTCCATTTTCAGTGAAATACTGATGGCTACTGATTTGAGACTGTCTTCCTTGGTTATGTGGCAGGAAGCTGGTTTGTGCCCCTAATCTTTGTCACGTGCAGTTCTACATTAGGTATTATTCTCTCTACTAGCTATGCTATTGTAGGCTCTTTGGGGCTTTATGAAGCTGTACAATGTGTGCTAAAAGAAGTACTAGATAAATAGTGAAGAATTTCTGTTTAATTCTGAGAGAAACCTTCTTGCCTAGTGTTCTGATGTTGGATAGTAAAATCCATAGACCAATCTGGAGTTTTAAAAATCCCATAATTGAAAACATGCTGTACAGGTATATTATATTTGATGATATAGGATTTGAAATCATATGATAAATCCAATGAAGTGGACTTTCCTACCTCTGCTCCAGTTGTTTCTACTCCATGTGAAACCTCCTTTTGAAGGACAGCAGCAGCAGGAGCTCTCAGCCCTGGGCATGAGTAGCTGATTGACAAGCAGCCTCCCAGTTAGGTAGCCCCACAAAGACCACTGGAAAGTTTATGGCTTTCCAGTTAACTTTTAACAATTGCAAGTGATTGCAACCAAAGTGAGAGCCAAGACTGGACACAGTGACAGGTATTTGTATCTTTTCACATTTATCTTTTTATGACTCTTGTGATTTGATTATGTGCCAAATTGCTTCCGGGCTCATAAAATTAATTCATTTAACAAACAATGAGCACTGGGATTGAGAAGTAAAAACACTGGGTTCCTGTGCTCAGGCAGCTCACTGTCTAGTTGGACAAGAAAACAAGAGCAATAAAGGACCATAAAAGAAATGAACAATGAGAAGACAAAAATAACAATAAAAGTCATAAGCAGATGTTAACTGAGGTTCCCAATGTGTAGGCAGATCTGTCTTTAGAGGAGAAGGAGGCAACACAAATAGACTGGTCCATGGTCCCTAGGAAAGGGCTAAGTTTCACTGTAGACTAATAAATTGGAATTCTGGGTTGTACATGAGGAGTTGGGGTGAGCTTACTTAATAACTAGTGAACTACCTACAGACAGAGCTACTCTGTGCTGGCAAGATCTGATTTCTGAGCATTTAACATGGACGCTATGGGAGTATGAAGGTGGAGTATAGCCACAATAATGCATTGGGGCCATTTACTATTTATAAAAATAAAGTCACCACTTTAACTTGTGGAATTTGGAGAGCTGACTTTCAAAATAAAATGCCATCTGTTTGGATAATTTTTAATTACTTGTAGCTTGGTTTTAAATTTTAACAGGGTGTACCTAATTACTCTAATTTGTTCATTCTGAAAAAATCCCAAATATATGAATTATGTTTGTATATTCTTTTACCAGAGCCTTTCTTGAAAAAGCTTTTTTGAATCAATGGTCTTTCATATTTTAATAAAGTATTTTAAAGTTTACTTACCAAATTTGTCTTAAAATATTCCTTAAAAGTATTTGGAGATAGGTGCTATTAACTATTAAAGCATTGATGAGGGCCATCTTACTTATCTTATTGGACAAATTCCCTGAAAAAGGTAAGTGCTTTTCTTCATTTTGCTATTGTCATAATTCCCGGTCAGTGGGCCTACCCACTGTCTTCTTTTGCTGGCCCTTCATTCATCAAGTGTCTTTTACTTTTTCACAGCATGAAAATCCTTGCTATTTCCCACTGCATAATAGCTTGTGACTTTACAGAAAGGTCATATCCTTGTCATATGTAAAATACTGCCATGCGAACATATACCTGTAAGATGCTGAGTCAAGATAGAAAAATGCACATATATTTCCAAGTGTACACTTTTCCTCAGAAAAAATGTGTCAGCAAGCCCACAGGGAACATGACAGTTTATCAAATATTCATTTCCTCTGAACTTTGTTCTTACGAGATAAGGTCAGTAGGGAGACAAGCTTAGGTAGTCGGTTTGGCTGTTACAGGCAGGGAAACTTTGTGGTACTACATAGGTACAATAAGTCCACAGAGAAGGGGGCTCCTATGAAGTCTGCTATAAATAGAGGGTTGGATTTAAGATATTATTTGTGATAGAATGGAAACAGAATTAAAAATATGAGAAACAGCTTTAAAATCTATTAGGCATGTTTAGACATCAGCTTATGTTTTATTTGATTTACTTTATTGAGTTCAGAATCCAAAGTCTATTAATAATAAAACCCAGATTTGCCCTTGAGGATTTCAAGATTGCAAGATACATAGTCTCCCTGTTAGTGGGCTGTAAATTCTACTTTGTTGCCGATGTTCGCCCTTGCAGTAAATGGGATGCCATTATTCTGCAGTTTGCAGCTAGGGGTGAAGTTAAACTACCCAATTTGGACACTTTCATAATTTGGGGGTCACTGGCTGGATTTTCATCACTACATCATCTGCCTTTTAAGTGGATATTTTTATGTAGAAAGATCTAACAAACCTGACTGGGGAGACATCATCCACATCATAAGAGACCTGAATTTGCTTTTCAGCTTTGTCACTGATTATCCCTGAGACCTTAGGTAAGTCAGTCTATTGCTATTATTGCATTTGCCAAGTAGGAACAGTGAAGTCTTGCTCACCTCACAGGGTTATTGAGGTACTAAAATTATATAAATTTAAGGTAATAGTGTTACTAATGCTGAAATAGCACTGATATTCAAAGACCTGTAAAAGTAAGGATGGATAGGGAAGGAATGTGGAGAAATCTCTTCTCTCATTTAGTAATTCTCTCAGTGGAGGAACTCTTGCCTTTTTGTGCTCTTAGGGTGGGGTGGGGTGCATATTTTGAAAAAAAAATCTCCAGGTGACACTAATATTCCTTTCCATACCCCTCTACCTCCTACTGCTTTTTGCTGACTGGTTGTGCTGAAACGATCAGGATTGTCTTCTGTGCCATGACTCTCTTCACTGTATCTGTGTACAGTAGTCCCCCCTTATCCACAGAGGATATGTTCCAAGACCCCCAGTGGATGCCGGGAACCACAAATAGGACTGAACCCTACATATACTATGTTTTTTCCTATACATACATACCTGATAAAGTTTAATGTATAAATTAGGCACCATAAGGGATTAACAACAACAGCAGCTAATAGAACAATTTAACAAACATACTGTAATAAAGGTTATGTGAATGTGGTCTCTCCCTCTCTCAAAATATCTCACTGTACTGTATTCACCTTTCTTGTGATGATGCCTACATCATGAGATGAAGTGAATGACGTAGGCATTGTGATGTGTTGAGCTTCTGGCGATATGTCAAAAGGAGGATTATCTGCTTCTGGGCCCCGGTTAACCACAGCTAACTGAAACCCCAGAAAGCAAAATGCAGATAGAGGGGAAGACTGTATAGATCAGTGACTAAAAAGGCAGCTGAGCATTTTAGAGTTGTGTAAATTCCATGATTCCAAGCAAGTTTCAGTAACAAACTGGACTATAGGTGCCCCATTAGTATCAAGTTGGATTTTGGAAGGTCTGTTGGCCAGCTTTCCCAATATCACTTGAAAATGTCTTGTGAAACTTAAGTGCCAAATGGCCATTAAAATTACCCAGGTCATGAGGCCTTGGGAGGGCTGTTGTTTTGTTTTTCCTGATTGCCTCTCCTCCACCCCCAGTCATTTTTGCCCATGCATTTGGGTGCCTTGCTCTCCTAGCTCTCAGCCACCCCTGTTTTGCAACTCTTTATTTTCTTTCTGTTGCTGAGAAAAGCATCAACAGGAGAGAGAAACCTTTTTAAAAAGCCATAGTCTAGAGGCATTTAAACTTGCAACAGCTACTCTTCTTTTTTATTAAACGGTCATTTGTGTCAGAGATCCTATTTGTATGAAGAATAAAAATGAAAAGACAGACAGCTGCTTAGGATTAGTGCCTTTTTGATTTCTGCACTTCCGTTTTCAAGATGATGAGCTTTTATTGTTCCCTATGAGAGATCCACTTTTCATATCTCAGGTGACCAGACTGACTTGAGAATGCAGTTTGGCGCATGAATAAAATGGGACACAGTGCTCATTTGCAATTTTATTTTTTAAAAATGAAATATTCAAAGTACTTTTTCTTTCAAATATCGATCGACACATAATGTTTAACTTGAAATATTTACAGCATGTTGTTGTGATGCTCTTGTAGAAAAATGCATGCTTCTGGCCTGAAAGCCAGAGCAAAATGCAAAAGACCATTTAACTGCAGCCAGAGAACAGGAACCTGTACAGTATCCAGTCACTTTCAGCACAGGAGTGAGAGCAGGAATACAAAATTGGAACCTATTGTTTCCTAGCAACATGGCTCAGGCCATTATAACACAATTTTCAGTATGATTAGAACCTCTAACTGTTGTTATATAGAAACTGAAAATCTTGGCATACACTGTAAACATCTTCACTTTTCATGAGAGAGTAAGCAGCTAAAAAGAATATTTATCTGACGTAAAGGCGATAGTTCTCTGTTTTGCCTTCTCTCTTACTGATGCTTTTGCCAGAATAAAGATTTAGACATTGTCATGATTCATACAAGTAAAATATTTTTCAAGGACACAATCTGATATACTAACATTTATTTAAGAGGTTAAAGTCCACCACTAAATCTAAGGAAAGATTTTTAACTGCCAAACACATTTCCTTTGACAAATAATATAAGATGACAACTGCCAAGACAAAATCCACAGCAAGTTTAACTCTAACTATTTTCAGTTACTGTTTAGGAAGTAATTTCTTCTTACACACAGTTGTATATTTGGTCCTTAATAGCTTTCACATGAAGGACACACTGAAATGACAGTCACTATTTTGTGGTTGAATTCTTTGTCGTTGTTTGTTATTTTCTAAACCTTTCAGAAGACTGTGGAAGAGCCATCTGAGATCATAAGTATTACTCAGGTCAGCTATGTGTATGTGATTTCCTCTAAGCAAACAAGAATGTTGCATCCAATCTGTGGCCTTCTGTTTTCTCACAAGCTATACTACACTCCAATCTCTTCAACAGTTTCTTTCAATACTTGATTACTGTACTTTTGCTTCCATTACCACTGAATTCCATTACAGTTGCCGTTACACGAACATCTTTATAAATGCAAAAACTTTGCTGTGACTCTCTCAGGTGATAGTACAGTGGAACCTGGTCCAGTTAAAAATATATTTTCAAAAAAGGAAAGAAAAAAAACCCAGCAGAAATACCATCATAGAATGCTTGAAATGGCATCAACAATGATAGAAAATAAAAATCTTAGGAAAATTATAATTTAATTTTATACCTTTCTATGTAGTTAGCATGTGAATTCCAATTTATACACTGTCAAGTTTTCATACATTTGGCTATGTTGTATACATTGTATTATATTATATATATAGTCTATATATTATAGATCTAGATAAATTGACTGTAAGGGACACACTTGTTTTATACATTATTTTGCTGGGTTAAAAATAAAACATATGCCTATTTACTATGGTGAGTGTTTTGCTAAAAATCAGTATGAATTGGGCTTTATTTCCCTCTCCTTCATGAGTCATGCTTCTACTCAATAATGATTAGAATGACATTTAAAAATAAATGTATTTTAATGTCTGTTACACTGAACTTTTCAGCTCATTTGGATCTCTAGATTGTAGTGCAAAAGTAATAACAAAACACAACAAAAAAGCACAAATGAAATGGGCCTAATTAGGAAAAAGAAACAACCACGAAGTATTCCCTGCCTCTAGCCCAGAATGTTCTTCAGTGGAGAGCCCAACTACTGGGGCTCTCTAACTCATTTGCAAGGTTGTGTGGCTGTGCAGTGTCAGCTGCCTGTTTTCTGGTTATGAGAAATTCACAGATTTTTCTTTAAAATGCTTTTGCTTTCATCAGGAAATGAAAACGAATTGTTCTTGCATTTATTTAAACTTCAGAACTACAAGTCAGTGAAGACATCCTTTGTATTCAGCTGAATAGGCAGCGATGTACTCAATATCTCCATGTTCATATTATTAAATGCCAAAATGTTTCTCTTAGATTTACTGTTCATTAGTGCTAACCTTTTGGGTTTTTCTCTTTCCTCCGAGAAACTTTGGAAGTGGTACAGAGAATAGTAATGGTTCAAGGCAGTATTAAAATCACAGCTGTAAATGATAAAAAGTGCATTTCCTGAATATAATACAAATATAACTTTAAGAAACTAAAGGCACAAACGAAATAAATATGTATTACAAACTAGAAATGCACAGTCAAGGTAATTACCCTTAAGTCAAAGCTTCAAATATTTGTTTCTAATGGATATTTAAAGCAGTTTGAACATGATACATCTCATCAGTGAATTGCAAGAAAGTATAATAATCACTTAAAATATAAGCAAAATAGACTCTAATATTGACATCTTGGATTAGTGATAAAATACATCATCACATTTATGAATGCACTCTCTATATACAGTTTACAAATTAATTTTCCATTGATTTAAAAGAACATCAGAGGTTCTAGGAACTTAAGGTCCATTTTTAGGCTGGTGTGGAGGTATTCAAATTTTCAACAAGTTTGTCATTAATTTTAGAATCCCATCTGGAATAAATACTGTACCACTAACACAGGCCTGATTCAGGAAAACAAGCAAACAAACCAGTAATATGATTGCAGTCTGAATTAGCAATCTCTTGAGCTGGTATGCTTCCAGTTAAAGCGAGAGACGAGTTCATCATGAAGTCTCTCTCAGAATATGTGTGTCAGAATGTGGGAGTCCCAGCCTGAAGGTTTTGAAAATGAAATGTCTCGATACATCCTCCCCTACTCTCTGTAAGTCCTTACCTTTCCCTTACTCCACTTTGTGTGGTCAGGAGCCAGACTCTTTAAAAACCTTAACATGAGTCTGGATTCTGACTTTGCATATTTTCAAAGAAACTGTTATCACAAGCAAGGCAATGACCCCACACTGCATGTAGGTAGTAGCTGGAAAGAGTCCAAAGTGTAACATTCCATCATAAATTCTCCTTCAGACATAGCAAATGTCCAGACTCGGTGATGCAAATGCTGAAACTGGCTCAGGGGAATTTTCTCCAGGCCACATTGTGCTGTCATGTATTTTCATTTGTGGTAACTTAAAATTACCCAGCATTTTACAAACTGTCTCTGTCACTGGGCACAAATCTCCCAGTTCACCAAGGGGCTCCCTTTACTACAGGAGTCATAGAGATTGAGAAACTGCAGTTGATAGTAACACTAATCCTGGTCTCTTTTTTTTCCCCCCAAATTTTAAATGATCAGAGAACAAAAATAACCATTCCTGGAAAACAGGTATTTTTCCTAGGCAGGAAAGATGAATAATCAAATGGGTTAAGACAGAGAACTAAAATAACTAACCGTATACATTGTTTTAGTAAAAAATAGCCTGCTTCCCTAGAATTTGTTGAGATGTTTTAGTTTGGAAAGGGATTCACTTATTTAAATTTCCTGACTATGGCTGGGAGATAGATGTTCAATACCGAATTGCACATTTGGAAGAGAAATCTGGGTGGGCCGCAGCAATGTTGGGGCAACTACTGTGAAGATTGGTTTGGTCTTCCCTTTGGTACTTTCAGGTCTATTTTTTAAAGACCATAAGGCTCTCATCAATTTCTGCTGTAGTAGTGAATGTATTTGTTGGCGTCCCAGGCATGTATGCCTGCTAACGCTCTTTTTTTTTTTTTTGTATCAGAATCATTTGTAGTAAATTACCTTTCATGTGCACAAAACCACTGGATTAGTGTATAAATACTGAATCACTGATGTGAAACTATGACCAGAACACACCTTATATATAAATGAGAAATTCCTACCCAGGTTAATAAAAGCTGTGTTTACATGACACCAGTACAACTAGACAATTTGGTAAAAAATGTCCAAATGGGTTGGGTGGGAGAAGTTCCACTGGCCAGCTGCCTCGGTGTCATGTACACACAAGCAAAGGGGGGTGATTCAGCCTGGTTACCGCAGCCCCAGGGAGGCGTGGTAGACAGAACCCAGCCACCACACACCACAACACAGCACAACAACATGGCATTTACTTGAACAAGCAAGGAGGAATAATCAGGGAGAAAGGGCGAGTGGGTCCTGACTCTAGGAGACTGTGGCTGAGGACATTTTACACTTCTTTTTAAATTTCCTAGAACAGATCCTGAAAATGGGCAAGGGCTGGCAGTTTTTCAAAATGCAAGTATTGCACCCCCTTTTGAAATAGCCTGCAAGTTCTGCCAATAGTTAAACATGAAACTTTGTGTCACAACAGAGATACAGAAACTTGGGTTCTTCCTGTACATCTGAACATATGCATGGCTCGACAGATTTAAAGTGGTGCATTCTAAACTCTTTTCTAGCTGTCTTGAGTTTCACTTGTGTTATTTTGAATACTGCCACACAAGAACTAAAAATCTCCATCATTTCTTAAAGAGTTTAAACGAACAATATTAAAATACCATCTTCCGTCACTTTGAAAGGCAGTTGGATATGTTTCTCCTCCATATTTACATATAACGAGTTCTGATCTAGAAAACCAATACAATAAACCGTTTTGTGTTTTAAAAACAGGCAGTCTTTGGTGACGCAAAGGCAGAGATTTTTTTCGTTACCTCCTGCCTATTTCGCTCTGTCTCATAAAGTGAATATTGTTGGCACTGTCAGAAAGTTCTAAGTACTGCTCAACCGACAAAACAAAATAGCCATCATAACCTTGTACCCTCCCAGTGCTCAACAGCTGCTGCCTTTCCCCCTCTGTCCAGGCTCTAATACCCTCTTCCCCTTCCTGCAGCCTTCTTTGTTCCTTAGTCCAGGCCTGGGCCACCGCACGCTGTCTGGCAACCTCCAACACGTGATTCTTTTCTTCTTCGACAGTTGTCCCATACCGGATGTTGAAGCACAGAGCCCCATGCTGGAGCTGGATATCGGCAAACCGTCTAGTCCTTCCACTCAACACAGAAGTCATCTGGGACACAGTGACATTGACACCATTCTCCAGAATCCGCCTCCCCCCAGTGTTACCGATGAGCACCAGGTCTTCTTCCAGAGACCCAAGCTTAATGAAGTAGTGAGTATCCCTCCCCTCTATGGTAAAATGTAGGTTTTCCAGGTAATGAGCATTATTGAGAATGGCAGCAAGCCGCCTGCTATCTTCATTAGCTACTCCTATAATATCAGCTGTTACTATGCCATCCTTGATGGCAAATTTGATACCTTTTCCAAAAACAGAGGGGACGGCAGCAAACCTGGGTTGCTGTCCTCCTTCAAGGCACCGTCCGTCATTGTATCGGGGAGTCATAGGAAGTTGGTCCAAGGAAATGAAATTTCTGAGCTGTTTCTGGAGCTCACACTGAATACCCAGAATAGTCTAGGAAAGAAGAAAAGCACAGGGCAAATGCAGTACAGAATTAGACACCTATCATGTGCTTGGTGATGGTGGAAAGCAAAGGCTTGCAAAGTTGGTTCCTTCTCTCTTTCATTTGCTGGTGAGTGATTTAAAAACAAGCCAAATTTGGAATCTCTTTATTGCAAATTTGGAAAAGAAAAGACTAACAGATGATTTGATCACCTGGCATATATCTCATGATAGTTTGGTATGTTAAACATGAGGAAATATGTTCAAATTGATATCATAGAATCTCAGAGCTAGAAGGCACTTCAAGTTAAGTGGGTCCAGTTCCTCCAAAACAAAGACATTTCATTTTCACCAGTTTAACTAACACTGACTAGCTGTTTATTACTGTATATAGAATGATACACTAGCCACAGTGAGGGATCAAGATATGGCATAAGGCATTGTTCTTGCTATCAAGCAGCTTATGACCTTATACGTAACAATGGCAAATTGGCAAGTTCACTGGTCTTTTTATGTGGACTTGAAAAATCCATCTTATTATGGACAATTTCAAACCTACTAAGAAATAAAGAGAAGAGACAAATGAACATCCAAGTATCCATATAAAGCTTCAACAATTTTCAACATTTTGCTCAAGTTTTTTAAGGCTTAATTACAAAAAGCAGTTACATATTATATGTCTATACAGAAGGAGATAAACCCACAGTACATACTTAGAATCTCTTTCCCTTAAATTTTTTTACACTTAAACTTCAAGCCTTGCCACCTGAATTTGTTTCATTTTTTTAACACCATTTTTTTTTTGGCAAACAGAGATTCCCATTCTCAATGGAAAGAAAAAGTTTCTTCTTGTTTTCATTTGTACCTCATACTCCTGATGAAATTATGAATGAACCTTGAAAGTTTTGGTGTTCCTTGTTTTCCAGAGACTTCATCCCTGTGATATTTATTACTTTTGCTTCATTGCTCTTATATGCTTTTTCCTTATCAGAATAATTTGTTATGCCTGTGCGTCTTAATGCACTATGCCCGAAATTGTCTGGCAGTTGGAAATCGGATGTTTTATGCCTCTTGCTGACCACTTTTCTGACACAGAACCCTTAACTGCCCTTAGTAGCCCATTTCAGAATTTTTAAATTTCAGTTCCTCTTTCCTCTTGTTTGGCTACCACAGCAGTCATCAAGTCACATGTTAATCTTTTCTTTTCCAAAAACTTGAATTTCTCAATCATTTCCTCATGGAAGCTTTCTTCTACCTCTGTGTGAATCATGGCCATTTTAGGGAATATTCCAGATGACTCAAAAATAAGTAAGCAAATACATGGTAACACCATTTCATGGCGTTGGATGCTGTGCTGTTTTTTCAGCTAAATAGAAATGGTAAAACTTTTACTAACCTTTCCAGGATCCCACTCTTGAGTTTTTGTCTGAAGTTGTAGAAGCTCATAAGTTAATTCCAAATTTTCTAATTCTGGTTTGGGAAATCCAGGTAGAACATTGTGTAACTGGAAACCAAATAGCTCCAACCAACTTCCAATGTCTGTGAGAAATAAAATACAAAAGAACACAATTTTAAAAGCCTTTACTTTAAAACCTTTGTGAGAAGCTTGAAAGATGCATCTCCTGCCTTCAATATATTTAGCCAATGGGAAGTTAGGGATAAAACTCCTCCTTCTATCTATCACCCACTTTTAGGGATAAAACTCCTCCTTCTATCTATCACCCACTTTAAAATATATGGTCCTCTCTCTACAGGGTAACATTTTGATCCATGGATAATCAGATAGGTTCCATTTACTGCACTCCTAGTGCGGTAGTGGTACTAAGGTCACATGACTGTGAGATTAGGTTTACTTGGTGCAACATAATCCTGAGAGTTTTTCTTTTTAATGAAACTATTCATATGAGCTTTTAAGGGTGAAAACTACAAACAGGAAGCTCAAAAGGAAAGAACAAATGTACTGGGATGCAAAAGCCTCATGTTTTATGCCCACTCGCACAGATCTGCTCACTCTAGAAGACTAAGGAAGAGAGTGACTGCACAATAACTTGTGGGCTAACTGGCAGGAAGAGGAAGCGTATTTACAAAGGCATTGAGATTATGTGATAAACACTACCGAGTTATTTCTGGTTTAGCGTAAAATTTTACACCGTTCAAATACCTGTGGTATACTTGGCAACATCTTGAATTTTGCCAACGGGGTAGTTATTTTCAAAGGAGTAGAGGTTGAATGGTTTAGGAAAGAGGTTCAACTGTTTCCATACGTGATGATTAGGCGTCGTCCACCTACCAGCAACAACATCATAATCCCTTTGCCCCAGGTGCACTAATTTCGTAAGGAAATCATAGAGTCCGCCGTGAAAACCAATGATGACCTGGAAGTCAGGGTAAGTGTCATGATAGATATCTCCATAAGGTGTGTACAGTATTTCTTTGATCACCTGACCTCGACTGCTGAACACAGCTAGTGGGGTGCCTGTATTATCACAGGCTACGTAATATTCTTCACCACTGCTTAGCTCCATGGCAATAAGGTGACCTTGGAGATCATAATACAGGGATGTAATCTCTGAGCTCGTGTGGTTGTACAAATGAGTAACTCTGACGGGGTTGGCAAGGTCTGCATAAAAGAACTGGAGGTGCTGCCCTATGCTGGACTTACTGGCGACACGTCGCCCAAGCCCATCATAGTGATACTGCACAGTCCAGCCTGAAGCTTTGTTGTAGGCTTTCTGCAGCAGACCATTAGAGTTATACTCAAATACGTCATTTCCCCTCTGCCTCAGAAAGCCATCTTCATCCATTTTGTACTGAATTTCTCCTAGTCTGGTGATGCGGTCTCGGAGGTCATATCGGAGAGGAGTCAGTCGAGCAGTATTCCCGTGGCTTAAGAGGTTGATGTTTCCATTCAGGTCATAACTGTAACGCCACTGGGTTTTATCATTTACAGACACAGTTTGAAGTTGCCCATCAGCATCGTACTCATAGAAGTATCTTGTTATATTGGCATCTACTCCAACTCGTATATCACAAATTACCATGCGGCCCATGTTATCATATTGGATAGTCATCCAATAGGCAATTGCCTTGAGGATTTCATACTGGACTTCAATAACTTGTCCGTTGGCGCTGAAGATCTTGGTGTGCTTCATCACTGTCGTAGTGATGACCTGATTTAGATCGTAATTAATTACACTGAATTTTCCAAACTGCTCTGTTCTGCCAGAGACATCAACATAGCGGTACAGATCTATGGGCAAAGGGGTTTCATTTATCACAGCTTGCATGCTGGTGACGCGGAAGTTGTTGTAGCTGTAGTCAAACCGAGCATTCACAAGCCCTTCCTCACTGAATCTGAAAATCTGGCGTCCAATAAGTGGTCCTAAAGGAATCAAAATAAAATAATGAGAACAAAGCTAGATGCTTAATGTTGAACAGCCAGAATGGCCTAGTGTTATTTTCTTTAGTATTGATGCTTTTACCTTCAAAATAAAACATTAGAAATTGACTGCAGACACCTAATTCCTGGGCATATCATCTCATAGACATACATTTTCATAGTTGTGGTTATTAAATTTGAAGAAAAATCCTGTATATTGTAGTAATTGAGGAATTTAGTTATAGAAACTACATATGTAATAACCCATCTGGTAGTTTGGGGTGATGAAACTGTTATTATAAACATACTTTCTTGTTATAATCACTGACAAAAATACTTTTAATTCATTTACCCTGTGCTGCAAAGTCAGAGGGTGGAGGGTCAGGTTTTAACAAAGCTCAGCCTTCAAGTAACTGGATTTGGGCATTTGATATACCCAAAGGATGCAATACATTCATCAGTTCTGACTGATGAATACTTCAAAAGTTCTGACTTTTGAAGATATTTTGTCACCCCCTGAGGCTTATAGAGGTTACACAGGGCTTTATCTCCATTACTGAGACTTGTATCTTGCAGTTGGCATCTTTGGGAAGATTTGGTGGTGAGGAGGAACGGGTATGTGGTTAGCCTAGGTACTTAGATCTTAACTTGTTTGGGAGCTGAGAGAAAGAGAAATGCGCTGTATGTTTTTAAGAATCAGCTTCCATGTCACCTATAATATGCTTTTAATTTTCAGCAGAAGATAATTTGGTAACTGAAGTGAAAGTGTGTTGGAATGAACATCTGTAGGTTAACACTTCTGTCCCAGACTGTGGCCAGCAAAAATGTCCTGAGAAAGCACTGATGTGGTTGTATGCATCACCACCTTTCACAACTGACCTGTTTGCCGGTATCTGATTGTGCAAATGAAGCCATCATGCATCAGGTGTATTGTCTTAATCATTCCAGAAGACTCTTCATATGTTAATGTGACCTGAGTGGTATCATAGAGAATCTCAGACAGCCTTGCTTGCTTGGTGTACTTGTATAAAACTCTGCGCCCTGTCCCCAGATGCAGGGTCTGCCGCAGTCGGCCATCCCGACTGTAGTCTTGGATAAAAGAAGCGCTACTGTCTGGCGGGGTGTAGATGTTCCGGTAGTAGCCCACTGAAAGCATGGTTTGTAAGCTGTGGCGCACCATACTAGGCATGGTGACTGAGAGCAGACAATCCGACTGATCATACTCAAAGATGTAACGCCGCTGGCTATGTAACAGAAGCATCACAGACTGAAATGAGACAAAGGCAAAACAGCATGAAGACGTATTACTAAAGTTGAGGAGATTCAAGAAAAT